TCTCTCTCTCTCTCTCTCTCTCTCTCTCTCTGTGTGTCTGTGTCTCTGCTGCCTTCCTTTTTTTCATGTCTGTCGTCCTCTTTTACCCATCTGTTTATTTTCTTCTGACTTCGTCATCCATGGACGTCGCTGCAGCACTTGCAGAATTCAAATTTCCGTTGGTCTGTATGGCTGCATGCATGCGCTAATCGTGTTTCCGTCCAAGCCTCCAAGGTGGATGAGCTTAGCATAATTGCAGTTTGGGTGACTGTTTAGTCTGTTGCCCTTTGGTGGTCCGAATGCAGCAGAGAGAAGGGCAAGGGGAGTAGCAGAGACCAGGAGAGAATGGAATGCCGAACCCTGCTCTGGCTGCTATGCTCATGCTATGTAGAGGTGGCTGGTATCTAGAACAGACTGCCATATAGAGCTACGCTGCTATGTAGAAGTGAGTTCCACGTAGAGGTAGGCTGCTATGTGCGCTGGCGGGTACTTTGTGCTGTGGCCACCACTTTGGAGGCTGGCGGCTATGTGGGCTGGTTGCTCAGTGCTGTGTTGTGACGGAGGTACTATGTGGGCAGGGTGTGCTGGGCAGTATGTGCAATGCGCAATGCAATGTGGGCTGGGCACCATGTCCGCTGGGTGCTACGGTGGCAGTACTATTTGTGCTGAATGCAGCGAGTAGTGCTCTGTGGACTGGGTGCTATGTCCAGTGGGCAGTACTATTTAGGCTGAGTGGAGTCAGTGGTGCTATGTGGACTGGGTGGTATGTTCAGTGGGTTGTACTATGTGACCTGGGGGCTATGTTGGTGGTTTGATGTGACCTGGGTGCTATGTAGGTGGTACTATGTGACCTCGGTGCTACTTGGGTGGTACTATGTGACCTGGGTGCTATGCGGGTGATACTATGTGACCTGGGTGCTATGTGGGTGGTCTGGGCTGGGTGCTATTTGGGACAGGTGGCACTTTGCCGACTGGGTGGCCATGTGAAGCGGGTGGTATGACTATACAGGCTGGGTGCTATGTGCAGCAGGCAGTACTGCAGATAGGGCTATAAGGGGTGGGTGCTATCTGCAACAGGCAATAAGTACTATGCCGGCCGGGTGCTATGTGCACTATGGCTCATGGCGGTAACTGCTTTGCATTTGTGATTGAACAGTCTAACGGCTGTGTTGAAACTTCCAATACAACTGGGGCCCACAACTCCATGCAGGTGCAGAATGGAGCTTGCAGCTGGCGGGAGGGAGTCTCATAAGGAATGGGGCCCTCTGTGCACCATGTGGATAACCTTTTTTTTTTTTTTAACCTAATGGCTGACTAAGGAAGGTGACTGTCATAGTCTGGCTTCCAACCTCTACAACAACCTGGACTAAGCGCTTTAAACCACTAGTACCTTTGCCGAGTGGGAAAATAGCGGGCCTCGGGTGGGCCTCCGACCTTTTAGGAGGCCTAACCGAAACGAAACGACGGCCGCCGATGAGATTTATCAATGGCGGCCGTCATCATCGGGCCCGGCCTCCAAACTCTTCGGGAACAGGCGTTTTCCCTAATTCCGGAACACTGGTGGAGGTACGAGTGCTTTAAAGAAAAGAAAAGGAAAAGAAAGGAAAGAAGAAAAAAAAGAATGGAGCTTGCAGCTGTGAAAAGGAATGCAGCTTCTAGCGGGTCGGACTGAAGCTTGCACCTGTGAAAAGGAGAAAGCCTATGGATCAACCAACTACCATCTTCCCCCGAATAGAATAGAACAGAAAGCCTAGGGATCAACCAACTACCATCTTCCCCCGAATAGAATAGAACAGAACGGACGGTCATTATCGCTGTATCCAGACTGGAAGGTGGCCCAAATACTGGCATAATGACCGTATGTTCTATTCGGGGGAAGAGGGATTGGTAATGAAAAATGAAGTCCATAAATGACAAAAAAACTGATATGTCCGATTTCCTAATGAAAAATCTTTAGTTACAGGGTGTGTTATTTTTGGCAAATTTTGCACTGAAACTGTCATATTGCACTGTTTTTTT